ACCTGATGAACCTTCGTGTCGTTGGTTATGGCATCTCTGCGGAGGTCAATCGCTGTAAAATACGCTAGATTCATCACGCCAGCACACAGCTTAAGCTGGGAATGATATTCGGGCTCGATGGACAACCAATGCTTTCGGCCATGGACGTGGGTCACCATAGAATTGGCCAAGTCCATGTGTGATCTCTTGATGCTTTTGTTCGGCTCACAGAAAGAGATGAAATGCGTTGCTCGGGTTGCTTTAACCAACATGGCTGCGGACACGATTGTTGCCTTTGGGAGCTCTCTCGGAGAGCAGTTTGAATCCCACTTGGGGCGTTTGGGGAGCCTCGTGGGCCGTCTCGAACAAATGGTGGGCGTGCTGGGGGCGTTTTGGGGCCCTCTGGGCCCCTTTGTACGGCCCTTTTGGCGGGTCTAAGCTTGTTTGGGAAGAGGGCTGGAACCGTCAGGGAACCCTTCGAACCGTCCAGGGCCCCCCTTGGCCCCCCATGCGGCGGGGCCTACATGTACATGTATATGCATCTGTATACATATATATATATGTGTATATATACAGGCGTACGGGTGTATACATGGAGGTCAACGCACATGTATTCACATATTCATATACCCAGCTAGTCAAATACTCATATGTTCGTATGTGTATACGTATATGCACATACATATGTGTACACCTCTACGACCACCCTTAGGGTGATAAGGAGGTTCGGGAGGGAGGAGGCAACGTCTCATTCCATCGATCGCACGATCGATATCACTGCCGATATCACAATCGACATCACTCGATCGACCCCATCATCGACCGATGAAATTATGGATCTCGATATGGATCTCACTACCAATCTTACAATCGGTCGCACAATCAGTAGCACTATCCCTCTAACTGTCGATCCCGCAATCGATATCAGTCTCGATCTCACAATCGATCATACGGTCGTTTTTTTGACCGGTCCCACAGTCGCTTTCACGATCGATCTCAATTGCGCCTTTGACGTTACAACCGATCTCATTATCGATTCCATTATCGATTTCACAATCAATCTCAATATCGGTTTCAGTCAAACGATCCCATCATCGATCCCAAGATCGGTCTCACGATCCAAGCCATTATTGATATGACCGTCGGTATCGGATGGATCCCACTACGGATCGCACTATACACAACAACATGGCTCCTACTATGGATCCCACCATGGACCCCACCATCGATATCACAATCGATGTCACGATCGATCTCACGATCGATCCCACTACCGGTCTCACTTTCTACATCACAAGGGATATCACTATTCATCCCACGATCGAACTCACCGCCGATCTCAAAATCGATCTCACGATGGAACTCGCCATGGATCCCACTATGGATCTCACCACCGATATCACTATCGACTTCACGGGACAACATAGGACTCCGCGCCACGGGACACCACGGGACACCACGGGCCACCGCAAGACACCACAAGACCCCATCGGGACACCACGGCGGGAAATCTCCGGCAAGAGGGTGCACTCCTCTCGCTCTCCTACGCAGCTTCGCCCCGCCCGTACGCGCGAGCGAAACGAAACGGAACCCGATCTCCCAGACGGGAACAGAGCCGAGCATAACATAACGCACCTTGACAAAACATATCACACCATGCCACACCTTGACAAACCATACCGTAGCACGACTGCAGAGCAGACCGACGACGAATACGAAAAGCACAACCGTGGCGCAACATAACACTAGCATGGCACAACATGACATGATATAACATAACAACACCATGACACTCAAGAGCATAACGGAACATCACAAACCATACAAGATCAGGACCTGACGGAGCAAACCACGTCATACCACAACACAGGAAACATGACATACCATAAAACAGTACATTTTGACAACACATATCATAGCATGCCACAGCAACGAACACATGGCATAAAACGACACAACACCATAACGACACGTACTATCATACCATACCGTAGCGTGCTTTACAAAACCGAACCGTCATATAGCAGAACATCACATGGCAAACTTGTGAACAGCATGACATAGCAGAGTACACAACACAACGTAACATAGCATAGCTGATCACTGCATCACAAAACATGCCAAACCACATCATAGCATGACGCAGCACCACGGAGCATACCATGGCACGACAGACCAGCATAGCGGCAACACCTAGCAACACATACAAAAATATGCTATACACGGCCGAACTTCCAACACACATAACATCACATAACATGCCCAGAGCAAAACATGTCAAGACATAATGCACATCATCAAAACATAAACAGGAACGGTCTACCACACGTTGATAGAACATTTCCGATCATGACATAACATCACATCACAAATCATAACACGGCAGCAGAGCACAGCGACACGTACTAGCAGAGCAATTCGTCATGTACTATACAGCGCTGGACCGGCAATAAACAGGACAGCACTGAAATACCAGAGCAGACAACGAAGTTATTTGCCAGGGGATCGGAGTCACTTGCAAATGTGGGGTGCTACGATGATGTAAGGTCGGTCTCCTCAGTACTCTGGAAATCGCGTGCCGACGTGGCGGTCGTGTTCGTTAGGCGTGAATGATCTATACACGGAACTCGCCATCGCTTGGACGTCCATTCCCTGTGCTTTGTCTGCAGTTTCGTGCGTGGCTTTTTCGCCAAATGATCAAGGCTGCTCCTCGATGATCGGACAGGACAGGACCGTCGGATGGACAGGACCGTCGGATCTGCAGGAGGTCAGTCCGGGAGAGCCGCGCCTCGCCATCGCTCGGACGTCCATTCCCTGTGCTTTGTTTGCAGTTTCGAGCGTGGCTTTTTCGCCAAACGATCAAGGCTGCTCCTCGATGGCCCTCGCCGAGAAAAAAAAAACTGCACATGTCCGAGCGATGCCAGGGTCGTCGAGCAAACCTCGGGAGGTCCTGCAGCTTTGATCTCCCCCCCTGTCCACTCGGCGGCGGAGAGGGCTGGTCCCAAAGCCTCTTCCTCCTCCTCCTCCTCCTCTTCCTCCTCGATGGCCCTCGCCGAGAAACAAAAACTGCACACGTCCGAGCGATGCCAACGGGAAAGGCGAGGCGACGATGCCGCGACGACCCGGCGCGCGCTCCGCTCTACGAAAAGAGTGCGCAGGCCCGCGGCGCCCGCTTTGAGCAACACAACAAGCCGCCGGCGCGCAAGACGGCGCGTCGACGGCACAGAAAGATGGCGTACTCCAGATTTCGTAGTAAAGGGAGGGGGGTCTGCTTTCGGGGGGGGGGTCTCTTCCAGGCTATCTTGGAGGGCCTGGGGGGGTCTGGGGACGATGTTTTGGAGGGTCCTCCCACGGGGGAGGTCTGAAATGGCTTGTCTTGGAGGGTCCAGAACCCCTCCCTTTTATTACGAAATCTGGAGCAACAGCTCATGAACGAAAAGAGGACGACAGAACATAACCTAGCAACACGGAGCCGAGCATAGCACGACACACCATGACCGAACAAATCAGATCATAGCATGGCAGAATCACAGAAAAGACAATAACACGAAAGCCAAGCAGAGCGCAACATACCAACAACGCATACCATAATGTAATATCCTGAACCTGTATGTCAGCAGCATCACGGCACAGAGCATACTAGAACATAACCTGGCCTACCATACCATGTCGTAACATATTGCCGCAGAGCAGGTCATACCATAACATGTCAAAACATGCGGTGACAGAGACGAGCATAGCAAACATCACACACTTATCCATACTATATACATATAAGTGAAGAGGAGCATCATAACAACTGACGCATCTAACCTCACAAGCGGCACGACGTCGCGCTGGCCAGTCGAGAACATAACAAGACACAATAGAGCATACCATGAAAGAACGTGACTACGCGGAATACGGTTGAACCGCATTTGAATCCAGAAACGGCAGTTGTCGACCAATGAGGCGGCCGTGCGCGGTCGGGAACAAACACTTCAGGTCTCGGTCGGGATCGCTCTAAGCAAAATAGTTCTACGTACACCCGTCTCATCGTCCTCCTTTTGACCATCCATCTCTTCCAACTCCTCCTCCTCCTCCTCCTCCTCCTTCTCTTCCTCTCCCGCATCCTCCACCTTTCCAGGCCTCCGACCTGTTCCCTTTTCGCAACGTGGGACCCCCCGAGATCTCGACCCCCTCGATGGGACGGGGCTTGCACCCCGAGTCGCTCTTGGCGACCCGGGGTCCGCCCAGGGCCCACTCTAGAGGCCTCCGAGATGGGGTCCGAGTAGATGGGGTTGAAGGATCGCGCCGCATAGCCGATACATCGGCGATGCATCGGCGATGCATCGGCGATGCACCAGCGATGCATCGTCGACGTGGGCGATGCATCGGCGACGTCGACGTGATGCAAGTCGGGCTCCACATCGAGCCGCATCGGCGATGCATCGGCGATGCGGTGCGATCCTCCGATACCATCTACTCCGACCCCATCTAGGTGGCCTAGACACTCGGAGCCCGAACTCGGCCCCACACCTCCCGTCGTGATGACAGAACGATCACCGAATCGACAAGTCGCATGGGCGATCGAAGTGGCTCGGACCGGCGGAGATCGGCACCCCCCCGTCGGGAGACGTCGAATCGGCAGAACCCGGCAGGCCAACCAGCGAGAGGCCTCCACTGCGAAGCCGGCATCCGCGTCGAGACTCGAGACCGAATCGGAAGCGGCATTGGAGAGTCGACGGACGTCGAGCCGCGTCGAGCCGGAGGAGCCGAACATCGGCTCTGCGAGGGGTCCGCCCTCTCGGGAGCGGCCAAGAGAGGGGTGTCCAAGAGGGGGGGGTGCAAATCATGACCGGCGGCATGTGCGCGGCCCAGCGGGGGGGCCAGGGACGCAATAAAATAAGAAGAGGCGCCATGAAACCTGAGGAACAAAATCATGGCCCGCGCCATGAGATCCACCGCCCCCTGGCCATCACCCCCCCTCTTTGCCGCTCCCGACCCTCGGCCTCCGCCCCCGTGCCGGGCGGTCGCCGCGCCTCGACGCCGAGCCCGTCACCATCATGGGCTCGTCCCTGGGCTGGCTCACGAAGCTCTCGAGGAGCTGGGCGTCTGGACTGCGCGCGCGGGGCGCGCACGGCGCGCGGGGCGGGGGGGGGGGGGGGCGAGGAGTCGCAGGGAGGAGGGGGGGGAGGGAGGCGGGGAGGGAGGGGGGGAGCGAGGAGAAGGGAGGGAGGAAGAGAACGAGGGGGGAGGAGAGAGGAAGATTGGGAGGCAGCCTCCGGAAGGTCTTCGCCAGCACGACGGATCTCTATCAAGTCCGATTGAGTGGCCAGCAAGCTGGATCAGGCCAGCTGAAACATGGGGGGCGAAGCGATTAGGCGGAATTAAACCCTGAGGAGGAGGAGGAAGAGGAGGAGGAGGAGGAAGAAGAGGATGCGAAGGAGGGGGATGAGGATGAGGATGAGGATGATGATGATGATGATTAGGAGGAGGAGAATGCTGGGAGAATGCTGAAGGGTGCCAGTCAGCAGCGAAGCCACAGCTGGACAATTACACCCCCCCCTCGGGGGGCGGCTCTCGATAGCACACTATCTCCGAGACTTGGGTTTCAAAAATGACTGGATTACACTCGACCCGGCCTCCACTCGGAGGCGCCCAGCTCCCTTGTCATTGGGCCACTTGTTGCCCTTGGGTGGGAGCCCCTTGCGCAATCTACTAAGATAATTATCTCCCGAGGGGGTGGTCCATTCTCGGCACGGCTCCGCTAGGAGCAAGAGACGGCCCCCCCCATTCACCACGGTGCCCAGACTGGCGCATTTCCAACACCACACTTGCCCGTTACGCATGGCCACGCAATGGGAGGGGTGGACATGCTTATTGGCCGTCCTCAACTCCGTGGTAACAGGGCGGGGCACGAGCACAACATTATCATTCTCGCTCAAGTGCCGCTGGGTGGGGTCCCCCTTACAGCGGTTATCTTCGAGCCCGAGCCAGTCCACAAGCGACGACCCTGGGGGCGGACCCTGACGGCACCGACGACACAGCCACGCCCCATTGGGCAAACGCCCCAAGTGGTGGCCCGACGCTCGCTCGAGCTCGACAACCCGCCTGGAAGCAGCCCCCCCTCCCCCCTCGGGAGTCCGTGCACAATGCTCGCGGTCCTGCGACGCGAGCTCCCTGGTCACCGCCGCCAAGCGCTGCTGGGCGAGGGTGGCGCAGGCGTCCGCGACGCCTAAGGCCTTGATTTCTCCCTTGATGGGAGCGCTCGCCTCCTCAGCCCCTCTCTGGGCGTAGGCGTCGGCCAACTCATTCCCACGGGAGACAGAGGGAGGCTGGGAGGACAGGAGGTGGGAATGGGAATCAAGGTTGGAAAAACACTTTCGGAGGGTGACAACCCCAGGGCGAGCAAGGGTAGCAGCTCTGATCCTCTGCCACCACCCCCTGAGCACCCCACTGGGGTTGTCAAGCTTACCCCCGTGCCACCCATCAAAGACAGCCTGGTTATCAGTATATATAACTATATCCCCAGTTGTGAGCTCCAAACACCACCACAAGGCGGCGAGCTCTGCTGCTGGGACGGTCTGGCGGCCGTCGACTCCCCCGTACCACCCAGGGAGGGGAGGGGAAGGGTCCGAAGCTCCAGGGGCGGGAGGGCCATGCAGTCCCAACTGGAGATAGACGCCCCACCCGACTCGCGCCACACGCGGGTCCGACGACGTGCCAGAACCATCCAAAAAACCAAACCTCGCCTCCAGCCTCCGGGCTGGCGTCACTTCTCCATTGGGACCGATGGCGGGTGGCGGGGTGTCAACGGCTCTAACACGCCAGGCACTCACATCCCCCCACTCTGGTGGGGGTGGCACAGGATTCCATGAAAGGGGAACGATCCCTCGGAGCCAGAGCGATTCGTTAACCCCTCGGTCGAGGTCGCGGATCGCTCGCTCGCACAAGTGTCCCGTTCTGGCAATCCAAGGATGCTCCAACTGGGCCAGACTGGGGCACTCGTAGGTCCTATGACGCGTGGAATCTGGGGCCCCTAGATCACACCTAGTGCACATGCCGTCTGTCTGATAGCCAGCTCGCTTCTGGCGATCTCCATTCCAAATTGTGGCACGCGCTATCCCCTCCAGGGCGCCAGCTTCCTGATACATATCTTTCTTATGCATGCGCTTGACATTAGTTTGCAACATGGTGAGGTCCCCCCCGTCCTTGAGGCAGGCTCCTTCACTGTGCAAGGAGGCTTGCTTCCACAACTGCTTCTGAACTGACTGGGCCAAAGCATCACTAATTTCGGTCACATCATCGGACAGGTCGGGGTTGAAGCGCCACTGAGCACCGTCGGGGTCCTCCCAAACGTCAGGCTCAACCCCGACCCATCCCAGGGACCGAAGGGTGAGCAACAAGGCCCCCATAGGCCCCGTTACAGCTCGCCATCGGGATCGGGGCTTCAACCTAGCAAGCTTAAACTTAGTGGCCGTCCACCCCCTCCGAACCTGCTGCCTGAGGGTGGGGTTGTTGGCCCAGAAAATGAGCCACTCTTTGGCCTGGCGCTTCACGCACGCAGCCCAAGGGTCCCCCTCCCCATACATCAGCAGCATGACCATCGCGGTGCAGCGGCCCTTCTTTCCAAAACCAGCTAAATCCGCGGCCAGGGCTCTCCGCTTTCGGATTTCGGTCGGGGGGAGGCCAAAGAGAGGGCTATCGTAGGACATCTTAGCCCGCACGTTAGCATTAAATAGGAGCTTGCTCTTCTTACGTCGGGCCCGTCCCAAACTGGCGAATAAACCGGCCCTGGTGGCCCGAATTTTGCCGAGTCTACTCCTTCTTGTCGCCGTTTTCCTGGATCTCCGTATCCCCATGGTGTTGTCGGTCCCCAGGTCCTTCATCTCCTTGCCTTTCTTGATGGAAATATTAAGCTCGGCCAGGGACCTCTCCACCTCCAGGGCGTCCTGGGGGTTCTGGGCAAGGATGGTAGACTTGTCGGAGATCCTGAGCCTCGCCTTGAGGCAGCCTCCAACCAGGACACTCGCTGCTTTCGACACCGCTGCACCTACCACGTCGTCAGGGCCCTCGACCCTCACGGTGATGTCGTCCACGAACTGTCTCAACCTCGCTATCGGGACGGCTAGGTGTACTTCTTCTAGCACATGATAGAGTAGTGCTCGGGCTCCGTGGTTAGCTTTCCCGCATCCTGGTACCATCCCATTGTCAGGAACGATCAGGTCACTGTAGATCTTATTAGCCTTGACTAGCCTAGGGCAGAGGTACGACATGATGCACATGTACAGCTCTACTGGGGGATACTCGACTTGCGCAGCACGTACAGCTAATATACCTAAGTCTACCAAATCGTAGAACTTCTCTAAGTCCTGGAAGAAAGTAGCTTGGCTGGCTTCGTCTAGATTGGCCCGTGTTTCGTCCAGAACAAGTGTTAGCAGTGCCGACTGCAACGCCGAACTCTTCCTGACGGCCGCGTCCCAGAACCCCGCTTTTCGATCACACCACTCGGTTAATCGTTGTTTGGTCATCTTACCCCAGACTCTCATCGTCATCGGCATCAGCCCTATAGGCCGCTCTTCCCCCGCTATTTGTTTGTCCCCCTTTGGTGGTAGGGCATGCCATATCTGCATTATCTGATGTGGCCAAGTCAACTGCCTCTCACACATATTCAAGATGATGAGGAAGGATTCCTTGCACGACGGGCTGAGCGCTCGCAACTGGTCTGGCGCCCGTTGATCAGCACCAAGCCCAGTCCCCGCGTGGAAGCTGCTCAGCGCCATGTCAAGGCACTCACGCGTGAGGAAGGGCCTTTCAGCGAGCGCCTCCTGTGCCTTGCTCCTCAGGTCGTGCATGGCTTGCGGGAGCTCCTTTGTGGCGAAGTCCTTGTGAGCCGTCCATCGCCTTTCCCACTGCCGTCGTCGAAGTTGAATTCCTTTCTGCGGGTCCATCTCCCACTTCCTGGTGTCTGGGTCCAAACATCCATCACTCGTGTCGATTCGCTCCTCTGAACTCAAATACCGATGTGCTCCTTTCATCGCATTGTCTGTTGCCTTCTTGGCCCATGATCGTACTTGTGCTCGAGTGTCACGCCAGGCCAGGGCAGCATGACGGGCTGCGCGTCGGAAAACTTCAGCTATCAGTTCTGCTTCTTCCGATGCTCCGTTCTGATCTGCTCCTGTTCGGTCAAGGGGCTCACCTAGCTCAGACCTCAACGTCACGGAGGGCCCACCTGGCTCGATCAGGGTGGTGGGGGAGTCGAGGGGCTCACCTAGCTCAATCCTCATCTGCTCCTGCCCACTGTGGCCTAACCCCTCGCCACGCAGGGGGAAGTTACCGCTGTCTGTGCTGCCATTGCTATCACGAATCCAGCAAGCTTCCTGTCCGCCCGCGCCGCTCGCTGGAGCTCCCTCCTCCTGTGGCTGGAGTGCCCAGGGCGCGGGTCGTCCAGGTGGCGACGGCGATCCAGGGCTCCCTTGCGGGGCCCTGGAGCGTTCTGACATCCACGTACAACCAGTAGACAGTGTCATCGAAGTAGGACTGCTAGCACTTCTCGTCGCTCTTGGCCCCAACCCCGTAGAGCGGGCCAGTTGGGGCAGCGTACTCCCAGTAGACGGCGTCGGAGGTGTCGATCTGCTTGCTTCCCTCGTCGCTCGTGGTCCCAACCCCGTAGAGCGGGCCAGTTGGGACAATGAACCCCCAGTCGGTGGAGCCATCGATGTTGAGCTTCCCGCCATCAGGGTCCCTCGTGTCCCCAACCCCGTAGAGCGGGCCAGTTGGGGCTGCACAGTAGACGGCGACATCGAAGTAGAACTGCTCGCACTCCCCGACGCTCTTGGCCCCAACCCCGTAGAGCGGGCCAGTTGGGGCGGCGTACTCCCAGTAGATGGCGTCGAGGGTGTCGTAGTGCTTGCTGCCCTCGTCGCTCGTGGTCCCAACCCCGTAGAGCGGGCCAATTGGGACGATGTGCACCCAGTCGGTGGAGCCGTAGGTGTCGAGCTTCCCGCCATCAGGGTCCCTCGTGTCCCCAAGCCCGTAGAGCGGGCCAGTTGGGGCTCCTCAGCATTACTTGCCATCGCACCTTCCCCCTTTGCTTCAGCAGCCTCCTCCTCCAGCT